CGGAAAAGTGCGTTTCACTTCTAATCGAAAGGCTTTGCAACTTTAAAATAAAACTTGAGGACGATGTCATGGTCATTACGACTGATGGTGCTAGCGTTTCGAAGAAACTTCGAAAAATTCTAAAAATAGATCAACAACTATGCTTTGCCCACGCTCTACAGCTGGCAGTTATATCAGTTCTTTATAAAAAAGACTCCAGTCCTTTGGAAAATGATGAAAGTATAGATGATGAGAACGCTGCCTTCGCAAATTTAGAGCATAAAAATGATGAAGAAAAATATGATGATTATAATAGCGATTACGTTTCTGAAGAGGAAGATAACGTTCGAGATATAAATGATTCATTGTTTATTAATGAAACATCTGAAGTTAAAATTAAGCACCAAATTATTGGACCCGTTATAACTAAAGTCAGGAAAATTGTAAAAATGTTTAAAAGATCTCCAAGCAAAAATGAAAATTATTCACAAAAGTACGTAAAAATTGAGTTTGGAAATGTCATTCATTTAACCATGGATTGCAAAATCCGATGGGCAGCTTGTTGCTTATGCTAGACCGATTTGAGAAGTTGAAATATTGTATTAAAAAGGCATTTCTAGATTTAGAATTGGATTCCAACATTGATGATTCAATTAAGATGAACGAAAATGAATAAAAAATAATATCTGATTTAGTAGTACTTTTGACTCCTGTTAAAGCAACTGTGGAAGCACTTTGTCAACGAGACGCAGCTTTAATTTCGGCTGATATTGCATGAGAGTTCATGTTGACAAAAATAAAACAGCAACAATCTGAAATTGGAAAACAATTATATGATGCTTTGAGTCACCGAATTAAAGAGAGGAGAACACCGTTAAGCAGCTTAGTTTATTATCTTCATAATAGCCAATTTACTTCATCAAAAATGCCAGAAGTTTTTGTTCCAAATACAAGTACCCAAAATAAAAAAATTATCATAAACCTGATAAAGCGTTTAAATTCGGCAAATATAATAACAACAGCAGACTCGACTAGCGATGTTCAGTTAAACCAGGCTTTATTAAGCCACAAATGTGATAAAAACGTCAAAACCATTAGCGAACAGTTAAAGGAAGTTATGGAAAAAAAATTGGCAACACTACGAACACCACCTATAAGGGTAGAAAGTATATCTTCTAAAGTTCAAAAAGAAATGTTGTTATTTGAAAGTGGTAACACAAAAGGCGATCACCTTCAAAAAATATATGATTATATGCTAACCATACGGCCAACAAGTGTGGAGCCTGAATGAGCATTCTCTGCCGCTGGGTTTTTATGTTAAAAAAATCGAACACGATTAAGCGACGAAATGATTGACGCTTTGAGTTTTTTAAGGTGATATTTTCAAAAAAATATATAACTCATGTATGATTCTGCATTTTTATATCATTTTTTAACTATTTTTTTATTTAGGGTATTGTTTTATAATTTAAAATACTGTTACTTTGGTTCATTGATTTTTAAATGTTATCATCTTAGATAAGTTTTAATATAACAAAATTAAGTTAAAACATCAAATGTTTAAACTTAATTTTAGGTTCATTATTAAATTAAATATTTTAGTTATATTATCATTAAATTAATCATTTTTAAGTGTTTGATGAGTACTTAAAAAGTTCTTATTATGCTTGTCTCTTTTAACAATTGCGTTTTTTTTTTTAAATCCCGGGATTTTGCGGGATTTCCCGGGGACTAATTTCTCAATCCCGAAATCTCGGGATTGAAAATTTCTGGGATTTTTTCCATTACTATATGTGATGTTAATATTACTTACATTTTATTTACATTTTTATTACCATCATTATTACTTATTAAAGTTGTTTAATATATAAATGTGATATTTGGTAATTATTATTATTATTATTATTATTATTATTATTATTATTATTATTATTATTATGTATTTCACCGATAAAAAAAAGTTTATAAGTTTATGCAATACAAATATATAATACATGACTGGGGCAAGAAGAAGACTAGTTTAGCTTTATTACCAAACTCCTTTAAATAAAACTGTCAATATTAAAAATACAAAGCAAAGTAACTCGTTAAATAAACGTTAAATAAAACTTTGCGTTAAAATAAAATACGTTAAATAAAATGTAACGAAGTAAAAAAACAAAAAAAAATTACATTTTACGCTATGTTAGAGTGTAATATATCCAAAAGTATACGAAATTTTTTTTAATTAATTATTTTTTTAATGAAATTCATTTTTCCTAACTGGTTTAAGATTTATAAACCTTTTGAATTTAAATCATAAAATAACAGATAATACACGAATAACAAACAAACATTTTAAAAAACATTTTTAATAACTTAATTGTCTTTTATATTTTTTATATGTTTTTTATTAAAGTTTATTATATCAAATAAAATAAAAAACAACGTCATAATGTACAAACTGACTAACAGTATATATAGAATATATCTTTAAACCATATTTATAAAGAAATAAAATAAATAGACAAATGAAATTACTCCTAGTCAAAGGCTTCAGAAAAATTTTAATTCGTTGTCATTTATTAAAAGCTTTTGCTTAAGTTGGTTTTTGAAGTGTTTAATAGAAGAAATAGTTTTTAACTCATTATTCGATAGCGTGTTCCATAGTTTAGGACCTCTGTTAGCAATTTAAAACTTAGTAACAGAGTAATAGGTTTTAGGTTGAATATAATTGTTTTCTGAAAATGTCGTTGGGTACAGATGATTTATTTTTTCCAAAAATGAGTCAAATAAAATAGGTGATATTTTTTTTATTAACTTTGAACATAAAAGTAAGAATTTGATAAATATTTAATTGAAATACGTTGAGAATATTAAATTTAATGAATAGAGGTTTAGTGTGTGAGAAACGATCTACATTTCCAATAATTCTTAAAGCATGCTTTTGTTTAATTATTAGTTTATTTATTTTAGTTACGTTAGTGCTACACCAGGCAACATTTGCATAACTTAGGTAGCTTGAATAAATGAAAGATAAATGTATTTTAAACAGGTTTGATTTAATAACAGCTTAGCTATGTAAAGTAGACCAATATTTTTCAAAATTTTATTGTGAATTATATTTATGTGCTCCTTACAACTCACATTTTTATCAATAACAACACCAAGAAATAACAATGAACGCTCTCTTACTCTACAAGAGTTGTTTACAACTAAATTTGGAAGATTTAATGGGATTAGTCTCTTTTCATGAAGACGATGGGAGAAAGTGTATTTTGTTTTTTTTATGTTTATGGATAAATTATTTGCTATAAACCATTCCCTTAGTTTTGCAAGCTCTTTGTTTACTGTTTCAAATAAAGAATTTATATTCTTATCAGAATAAAATAAGTTGGTGTCGTCTGCAAATAGGATTGAATTTAAGATACTTGAAAATTTATTTAAGTCATTTATATAAATGAGGAACAAAAGGAGCCATAAAATTGATCCTTGTGGGACGCCGCAAGAAATTGTTGCTAAATCCGTTTTACTATCATTAAACAAAATATACTGTTTCCTGTTTGTTAGATAACTTTTAAACCAAGCTAAGTTATAATTTAGGATACCATAACTTTTAGGTTTGTGCAGGAGAATATTATGATCCACCGTATCAAAAGCCTTACTTAGACCAATAAAGACGCCTAATGTAAATTTGTTTTCATCAAAACCTTTGAGTATTTTGTGTATTAGATGAATGATTGCATGATCGGTTGAATGGCCCAATTTAAGGTGGTAGACTGCTAAAAAACATTGAAAAAAGTAGTTTTTCAAAAGTTGATTAGTTAAAAACTTTAACTATTGCTGTTTTTAAAAACATACATACCATTTTACAAAAAAACATAAAAAGGCCTAAAAAAACAGTTTAAACTTAGTAGGGTGATTTTGCTTCCCCTAGCAACGCTCATAGCAACGTCAAAATAAGGCAATTTTAACTAAATTTTACAAAATCTAAGCACTCAAACCAATAGCTACTTCTTTGTTTTTTGTTTTTCTATGTTTAAATGACATGGTGTGAAAGAACAACGTTGTTGAATTGGTTTATTACTATATATATTAACTCGATAAAAGTGCATACTATCAACATGGGTTCTGCAGAAAGAAGAAATAAGTCTAAAAGCAAAAAACGTAAATGTTATAGATTACTTGCGAATAAAATTCACTTGACTTCTGAATATACTACTTCAAGTTCAAATAATACATCAAATAATACATCTCTAACAAATACTTCTTCAAGCAAATCAGCATCTGCTGAAAAGTTAAATTTACCTACTTCTGATACTCCAAGTATTAGTCAAGATAGTAATCCTGAATGTTACATTGTATTTAATTCTGATGTCTTGAGTTCAATTTTAAATCTTGTTGGTTCTTGTCCAAAATGCCAATCTTTAATAAAATTGAATAATGATTTATCAAGAAGGAAAGGATTTTCACATCAACTTGTTTTGTCTTGCACTGCTAAAAAATGTCAATGGCAAAATGAGTTTTTTACCTCAAAAAAAATTGAAAAAAACAGTGATAATGAAACACAAGGCATGAAATCGTTTGACATTAATATCAGAATGTGTGTAGCTTTCAGAGAAATTGGTAAAGGTTATGCTGCAATGGAAAGTTTTTGTAACATAATAAACAGTCCACCACCAATGCAAAAAAAAACATACAATAACATTGTCTATAAATTGCATTCGTCTTATATCAAAGTTGCCCAAGATTCAATGAAGCGAGCAGCTGCACAAGCACAACGTACAAGTGAGTCTACTATTGGTGACCCTGATATAAAAAATGTTACTGTAAGTGTTGATGGAACGTGGCAGCGACACGGTTTTTCCTCGCTGAACGGTGTTGTTACAGCTATTAGTAATGGGAAGTGTGTTGACACTCAAACTCTCATAAAGGATTGTAAAAGTTGCCAATATTGGCAGAGAAACAAAGATATACCGTGATACAATGACTGGGTAGAATCACATATTTGCCCAATTAATCACAAAGGTAGTGCAGGTGCAATGGAAGCACCTGCACTACCTTTGTGATTAATTGATCGTTTAAATATTTAAACGATCAACTGTTTTCAACAAACTGCGTTATACAAAATACTGTGGTGATGGTGACAGTAAGTCTTACCAAAATATAGAAAGTAATAATGTTTACCCAGGGTATAAAATTGAAAAAAGTGAATGTGTCAGTCATGTTCAAAAAAGAGTTGGGTCTCGTTTACGCTCTCTTAAAGTATTGTACAAGGGAAAAGTTTTAAAAGATGGTAAAAGACTTACTGGAAAAAGAAGGATGACAGATAAAGTCATTAATACATTGCAAAACTATTATGGTATGAGTATACGACAAAACAAAGGGAATTTGTATGGCATGAAAAAATCCATAGCAGGACTAATTCATCACTGTTCTGAAAGCAGCAGCGATGAAGAACGCCATAAGTATTGTCCTCGTACTAGCGATTCGTGGTGTAAATATCAAAGGGACAAGATTAATCAAACTTTGACTTATAAAAACAGTATAAACATTCCAGAAGCTGTTTGTGAAATTATAAAACCTATTTTTTCACACAAAGATCTTGGTGCAAACAAGTTATTAAAAAGATGTCTTGATGGAGAAACACAGAGTGCAAATGAATCGCTCAATAATGTAATTTGGACAAAATGCCCAAAAAATGTGTACGTGGGTAGGTCAACACTTGAAATTAGTGTTGCATCTGCTGTCATACAGTTTAATGATGGTAAAACTGGTATGATAGATGTTCTTCACAGTTTAGGAATTTTACCAGGACATTTTACTAAAAACGGTTTTCAAAATAGTGATGTGCAACGTGAAAAGCTTATGGACACAAAATCATCTGAAAAGTTTAAAAAACAAAGAAAAAAGCTTAGAGCAACAAGGAAGGGGTTTGATGATAAACACAATGATGAAGAGATGATAAACACAATGATGAAGAGATGTTAAACACAATGATGAAGAGATGATAAACACAATGATGAAGAGATGATAAACACAATGATGAAGAGATAATAAACACAATGATGAAGAGATGATAAACACAATGATGAAGAGATGATAAGCACAATGATGAAGAGATGATAAGCACAATGATGAAGAGATGATAAACAATGATGAAGAGATGATAAGCACAATGATGAAGAGATGATAAGCACAATGATGAAGAGATGATAAACACAATGATGAAGAGATGATAAGCACAATGATGAAGAAGGAACATTATATGAAAAGGGGGGGTTTTAACCTGTTTTCAAGTGTTAATATATTTGTATTTTCAAAATATAAAGTTTTATTTGCATTTTTCTCTGTTGTAAAGTTTTTCATATTCTGGATAAGATTGCGGGAGCTTTATTTGTCCAATTGACTTGAAATTTTGTACAGATGTTCATTTTTATGAGCTTTATGTCCTGAGATAAAGAAATTTTGGATAAAAATTAAAATTAAATTTTTTGGGCTGTTTTGGGGTCAGGAATTTGGCCTAAATTTAGACGCATAGAAAAAGCTTATGGTGCATCGAAATTGAAAAAAATTCAAATTTTTTGTTTATCTCAGGACATTTATCTACTTAAAAGGTACACAACTGTAAAATTTTGAGACTTGATATATTTTACTTTTTGAGATATCTTTTCGAAGAACTTTGCACTTTTTAGGCCTAAAAACACTTAAATTTGCCCAAAAATTAGAAAGAGGAAAATTTTTTTTTTAATCCTATTTATCGTGTTTAAAATGAGAAAATCAATTGGAATAATGTCAGATTTAAAATTTTTTTTTTTAGCAGTCTACCACCTTAAACCCAAAGTGCTTATCGTAAAGAATATTATTAATAGTTAAAGAAGAATAAAGTCTTTTTATACATAACACGTTCCAAAATCTTGAAAAAGCAGGTAAGAATTGAGATTGGTCTGTAGTTTGAGATATCAGAAGGATCACCTAATTTATAGATTGGTGTAACCTTTGCACATTTTATGTTTTTAGGAAAAATCTCGTGTTTTAAAGATAAATTTAAAATATGTAGGAGTGGTATTTTTATAAAACTAATTGATTTAATAATGTTACTAACATCATCAGCACCCACACTTTACGTTTACACATTAGGTTTTAGTAAAGAAACTGAGTTGAACAATTCATCTTCTGTTGATGATTAGACATGACAGTTATATTAGGTGTTAGGTATGAACGAAAGTTTGTTTGAGATGGTCCTATTTTAGAGACTAAATTCAAACATACATTAACAAAAAAGTTATAAAGTGTTTCTGGATCTAATGATTTATTTACAATTAAGTTATTATTAATTTTAAGATTAGTTGGGAGTGCATTTCGGTTAAGATTTTTTTTGCCAATTACCTCTTTAATAATGTTCCATGTTTTTTGTGTACTGTTGTTTCTCTTTAATTTTTCAGACTAATATTTTTTTTTTTGAGCGTTTTAGAACAGATTCAAATAAACGTTTATAACTTTTATTAGTAGTTTTATTTACCAAAGTTATTTTTTTTTAAATTTTACAATATAATATTAGTTTAATTTTGGATGATTTAAAGATTCCCTTCGTTATTATTGAAAAAACTAAATGGATACTCTTTTATCCGCCTTTTAAAAAATAGAAACTTCCACATATCATTCTAGACCTTTTAATCGATAATATTACTTTAAAAAGGGAAAAGGTTACAAAGTTTCTTGGAATATATATTGATGAAAACTTGTCTTATTTCCTCCTTTTGCCAACAACAAAAAAAGACCAGTTTTTTGATTCTTATCGAGGACCTTATTTCTGGAACAAAATAGCTTTACCAAATTTTGATTTTTCTATTAAATTGACTTATGCTTCATTTAAACAGAAACTTAAAAAGGTTATCCTTTTATTAAAAAATATTCTCATTTATCTTTAACTTTTTTTGTATATTGTTTTGTTTTAGACTAATAATTACTAAGTTTTTTTATAAAAAGATGCATTATTATTTCATTACGAACAGTTTATTTTTAATTAAAAGTAAATTTAAAAAGTGTAAATGTATAATATTTTTTAAGGGCTTTATGAAAAGATCCTCATGATCTTCTAGGAGTCATGCTGTTGTTGCTGCCAAATGTAAATGTAAATATATATTTTCTTATGGTTATAGTAATTATAGATATATACATATTATTATAACTATATTATCTGGTTATTGTAACTATTTTTAACGACTTCAATATACTAAAATTGCGGTGTTGTATATTTGAAATGTAACCAAAAAAAATGTTATGATTATATCTTAAAATGATTTAATTTGGGTTTTAAATGTGTTCAAAAAATTTTGGCTTCGCACTTTAAGAGCGCGATCATATATAATATAGACTTTCACGACCCAGTAAAATAGAGTAAAATAATTTTTTTTACTAATTTGTTTTTTAACTTTGGTAGGCCCTGGACACTAATTGACTAAAATCGCGCCACTACATAAAACAAAAAGATAATATTTTGGTTTATTGCGCTGCATTTAGTCTACACCTACTAAATATACGAAAAATAACAATTGGAAATATATTAAAAGCAATAAATTTGAAATATATTAAAAATCATATATACACGTAATTTGTTTTACCCGTAAAGAAAATTTACAACGAAGGCTAAAAAAAATTTATCATTTTCTTTTCAATTTAATATTTACACACGTAAGATAATTAAAATCAAATTTAAATGAAATATAACACGCAAAATAAAAAATTAATTTAAATTTTAGTGATGATATATTTTAAATAAAATTTAAAATTTAAATTTATTACAAAACAAAGTTACTGGTATCTATTTATGATTTTGATCATAGGTGTTCATTTCTTTATAACCTCCAACATAACCTGCACTAGCTTTTTCATCAAATTCGCGTCGGCCATCTAAACCTTTACCTTTGCCAGATTCGTCAAATCTTTCTTTGTGACTTCCTGTATATTTAGAAGTGTCCGTAAGACGCTCCACGGTATCAGACTTTGCAGTTTTCTAAAGTTATATATATATATATTTTAAAATTGTTTAATTGAAAATAGATTTTTATATACCATTGCCACCAATATATGTACAGTCACGGGCCAGGGTTGGATTGTATCATATAAGTATGATCAGGAACATGGTTAACCCCAACCCTTAGTTCCTGGCCAAATTATTATACGCGCTAAAAGATGTAAAAATATAATTATCAAGTGATATTATACATTGTTTTTACTAGGTACAATGTATATTTTTTACTATCCACATTATTGTTTAACCTGTTTTGTTAAATCTTGTTTTATAACATAAATTTTTTTTTATTTTTTAACTATTGAAAAATTTAAAATTAATGTAACCTCGTGTAAATACTTTGTTGAAATTTAGCCTTTACTAGACTACAATTCAGGACATACTGTTCATACAAACACATTCATACAAATAATCATTTATCTATGGAATCATACGATGATTCCATAGATAAATGATTTTTTCTAAAAGTTTTTTTGCAAACCCATCTTTAGCCACTTCTCCTTTCGTTAACTCCCACAGGTTTTCAATAGGGTTCATAATTGGTCAATTACTTAGGCAAACTAACAGGAAGATATTTCTCTATTCCAAAAAAGCTTTAACAGACCATTCCGTTTGGCAGGGAGCGTCACCTTGCATTAAAAATGATTAGTTCTAAATTTGGAAATCACTATTTGAGCCGCAGAATCAACTATTTTTAGAAGACATTTTTGTACCGATCTCACCTGATTATACCTAATACCACATACAGACGTCTAAAATCATTGTCACTGACTAACGGCAATGACACACGACTAACCAGATCATCCCTTTTATAGGGTGCTTAACAGTCTAAACATCATATCTAGGATGAATTTTTTTTTCATGACGACACACTAACAGAATATTATTTAATTTCAAATTTGCTTTTCTTGATGAAAAAGACTTATAAAAATAATAAAAATCTAAACATCATCATTTGTTTCAAAGGAAATGATATTAAATGTATCATTTATGATAAATAATACTGACTGATGGCTAACTGGTCTTCAGAAGTCCACATCTTTGTCATGTCACTGTTATGCTTTGATTGCAGTTGTTAACTTGGGCTTCCTGACAGGGTGGCATGCTTTAAAATCTAAATCTTGTAATTCTCTTCAAAAATTGCACTACAAAGCAATCACATTAGCATCTCCTTGCAATTTTATCAGCTTTTTGGCAGCAAATTTGTTTTCCAGGCAAATTTTTTTTACACATCTTTTTGACCTTGAAGTAAAAAACAGGCTTTCTTCAGCATCTTTTCTTTTGTTTCAAGTTCAATTCATCCCCTACCTCAATTTTCTTTTTAATTCAACCAGAAACATTCAATTTTTGTGATAATTTATGGTTTGAAAATATTTTAACATTAAGCCTTTACTTCAGCTTTTTTATGTGGTAAGAAATTGCTTTTTTTGCCCATAATGAAAAAATGCCAATGATTATTTACTGCACACACACAAAAAAAAACACATCCATAATTGATGCATAAAATCGATGCAATTGATGCACAATCACAACGTTAACCACAATAAGTTAATATTGTGATTTGTTCACAATAAATATAAACAGGAAGTATAAATAAGTTTAAGTATTGCATATGAACTTATGCCAAACATGCAACTATCTACAGTGCATCTAAAAAATTGGTAAGGGACTGTATCTACTGAAACCACAACTATATATCCTTATTTCAACATGATATTAATTGTGTTATACTGAAGTAGGAGCTGCAGAACCTAACATTTAACTATGAAGTTAGCTTTTTAAAAATATTTTCAGACGTGCCACACGGCCCTAGAAGATTTGATGGATCCCTAACATTATCCAAAAAAATGGGTCCCTAACATTTTAAAAAAAAAAATGGGTCCCTAACATTATCAAAAAATATTATCAAAAAAGTTTTACAAAAGTTTATTATGGATCTAAAATAAAGCGAAATTTTATCAAAATTTCAAAAATAATATGTACTTTATAAAAAATTTCTTATATTAGATTTTAATGCGTAAAAAAATGATTTTAAAACTAAAAATACTTCAATACTTAATAATGATAAAAATTATAATTGTAACCAATTTTATTCATATTAGTTAAGTGTTCGTCTGGGTATAAAAAATACTCTCTATATTTTTGTAATTTACCAAAACACAATTTTTCTATAAATTTGATATATTTGATATATTTTAACAATATTGATAGGATTTTATATTTATAATAATTTACAACTTTACACTGAATTAGATAAAAATGATACAATAATTAAAGTATTACCAAAGAATAAAATTAATTTTTAAGCATTTAGAAGATGCAGGTGCATAGAAATTAATTTTATTGGTAACAATTGCAGTTTTTTAGGTTTAATCTTTCTTAAGAGGTAATCAAAATCTATTAAACTTAATAGTAGTAGTAGTAGTAGTAGTAGTAGTAGTAGTAGTAGTAGTAGTAGTAGTAGTAGTAGTATATAAAATCAAAATAATCTCCTGAATTTTGATTTTATATATATTTATTATATATATATTTAGCGTTTATTTGCCATTTTTTAAAGTCTTTTGTTAATTAAATAATGTTAAAACTTTAATAAAAAAATACGCCTTTGTGGCCGAAGTGGTTGTCTCACAGCGTTTCTGAAGTGCATTACCGTGGTTAAAATCCTTATGTTTGCACATTATATATTTTCTTAAACTTTATTTTAATTTTTAAAAATACAAAACAAAACATTTTTGAAGTTCTATAAATATTATATACATAACATATAAAGAGGTTATATACTATAATAAACGAAAAGGAGAGAATTTAAAAAAAAAAGAAAATGAAAACATCAAAAGACCAAAAATTAAAACATCAAAGCACTGGAAGAAAATTGTTGTGCATATGATACTTATGTGCTCAGGTAATTAGTGAAACCTGTGCATTTAACACACATTAAAAAGACAACTTTCTTTTTTATAAGAAAAAAAGATTTTACATTTAAACTTTTATTTTCTTTAAAATTAATAATTAGTTCCTATTAAGCTGCAAATGATCTGAAACTTAATAAATAAAAAAATAATAATCCTGTCCCTCGTTTACAAAATTTTACAAAAAGAAGTTATAATATATTGAAAATTAATCAACAATTTTAGACGCTTAATAATATCCAAACTGCAAATTTTATTTCTACTGATTACTAAAAAAATTGAAGTATGGAATATGTATAAAAATGGTCAGTGTGGAATAGACTTATTGAGACCTGTTTTTTACAGGTCAGAGCAGGTTGTAAATTATAATTGTTATTAATAAATATTGTGATTTACTACGTTAATAAGATTAAAAGCAATAAAAATTTTTCTTTCTTTCAGAGCCAAATATCCATCACTTTATACTAAAATGATGAAGAAAGAAAATGAAACACTAATATAAAAATGCGGTTTAATTGTAATTGCTGTCATTTTTTGTGTTAGTAAATCATAAAAAATCACAATTCAATTAGTTAATGGCTAATCACAATTACAAAATACCGCTTTGTGATTACCTAACTAAATAGTGCCATCATAACTAATAGCCTTATCTCTTCTTTAACTTATCACCTTATCTATTATTTATCTAAAAATTACTATCAAAACTTAATACATTATGGTATTGGGGTAATGCAAATGCTTAGGTAAAACACGCAGGGAGTATATATATATTGACTGACTTAAATAGATAAAACATGCAAGTAGTGCTTTTAAATTGACTGAGGGTTTTGCTTTGGGCCTATCTAATGTATCAGTTTAAAAAATATGTTTTTTTAAATTGATACATAAAAAAAAATATTTTTGCTTAAGCCTATCTAATGCATCAATTAAAAAAAAAACTTTTATTTAAATTGACACATTAGATAGGCCCAACCAAAAAAATTTTTTTTTAATGTATCAATTAAAAAAAACATTTTTAAACTGAGACATTAGATAGGCCCAAAGCAAAACCCTCAGTCAATTTAAAAGCACTACCAATAATCATTATGGATAAGAGTTATGTTAAGAGTTAAGTTTTATCAGCTTTTTTTTTACCGTAACACCAGATGCTGTTGGTCCACTTCCTGAGTTTATGAGATCCTTTAGCTTATTGTATCCTTCTGCATCACCAGGATATTTCTTTTCTGCCATTAACTTTACTCCATCTTCAAACTGATGATAAGTTATTTTTCTTTCTGTTTTACTACAGGGGAAAAAGGAATATTAAAAAAGGAATATTACAAACTACTAAAAATCTTATTTTCATTATTGTATAAAATACATAATTTAATTTATATAGTTTTTTTATAATAAATTTTTAATACAACAATATATGATATAGGATATGAAATCATCATCCTTTTGACATTTCCAAAGATGCAAGTAGGGTGGTCCAAAAAACAACATTTGTAAAAAATATCTGATGACACCTCTTTATGTTTTGTTTTATATAATAAAATAACACTGAAATTTAAAACTCCTAAATGATTAAACAAATTTTTTAGGGGTTGCTGAAAACCCTCGAACATTAAACCTAATATATTAGATAAAAAAGTTTTTCAAAAGTTTGTGGTGTTGGGTCTCAAGTAAAAGAAAATTATAAAAATTTCAAAAACAGTAATCATTTTATTGAAAAACAGAAAAAAATAGTTATTAAATAATGAATTTTTTTTAAAAAAATGCTTTTTTTTCATTTTTTGCTGAAAATCATTATTTTTTTATGCAATAAAATCTAAAATTATTTTTTAATTAAATGATGATTATTTTTAAAAACTTTATATATCTTTGCTTCATTTAAGACCTAACACAACATACTTTTCGAAAAATTTTATCAATGTTAAAGGGTCTATAGCAAACTCCATTTTTCAAAAATATTGTTTTTTGAACCACTTTAATGCAAGAAACAAACAATGTATTTTGTCAGTAAAAATGATTCAATGGTTCAAGCAATTTTTATATAAATACTAGATTCACTTTAATAAAAAAAGAAATGCACAAATGATACATAAACAAAATAAAAAGTTATTTTCTCGCATTTTATACTATTGTAAAAGTTTTAATATATTCCATAGTTTAATTACTTAATTAATACAACACATTAAGATTTCATTAACGAAAAAAGTCACAGAAATCTATCAAAACCTTAATCTCACCTTGTTAAACTGTGTAAATTAAAGACTTGCAGTTGATAGTCCTGCTAGAAAATACACACATAAAAGTGAAAGTGTAGTAACAGCAACATAATTGCTCTCCTGAATTATCCTTTATAAATATAACTCAAAGCATACAGGCTACAATGAATAATTAAGGTGCACTTATAAAAAATGTTTTAGTCTAGCTAAATAAATCACTAAGATATTAATCAATGAACTAATAACAGTATATGAAGTTAATTAAAGTTGAATGAATTAACTAATGGACACACTTATAAAGAATGACAGTACAGAAATTTTTATCCATCCAGAGAAAAAAAAAAAAAATTATATATATATATATATATATATATATATATATATATATATATATATATATATATATATATATATATATATATATATATATATATATATATATATATATATATATATATATATATATATATAAAGGAAAACCAAGCAAAACAACAATATTCAAAAAATTAGTTAATTTTTATAAGAAAAAGTTTCTTATATTAAAATATTACTAAGAAAATATTAAATAGTACTAGAGGCCTTTCAGTATTTATCATCAGTACTATTGCAAATCTTACTATCACAATTTTGTTATATGTAAAAAGTAATTTGGAACATTAAAAGTCACATTACATGTAATAGCAAAAATATTATTTATAATCAAAAATGCTTATCATGTAATGGACTACCTACTTATACTGGAAAAACAAAAAATTTAAGAAACCATACAAATAGACATAACTTCAGTTGTAAAACTGGCAATTCAACAGATAAATTTGACAATCATGTATATGATTGGAAGAAAGTACACAAAAAAAACTATGGAGCCATTCTTTTAACTTTTAGTTTTTCTCAAACTATAAAATGAAAATAATTTATTGACCTATGAAAATTATTTTCACAAACAAAAACATAACACCTTCAAAGGTGCTAAGTAGTGTTGAGCATAACTAAAAAGTGTTAAAATTTAAGCAAAAGAAAGCAATAGTCTAGTAGTTTTAACATATATTTAAACTATATAAGATATTAAAAATGGATTGGTAGCAGTAAAACAAAGTACTACTGTAAATAATGTATGAAAATTTGAAAAATCATTATGCAGTAGTTCAGCTGGATTTTTCTGATTCTGAACTTCCTAAACCTAGATCACCTTTATCTGATGTATCATAATATATCTACTCATTTATATATATATATATATATATATATATATATATATATATATATATATATATATATATATATATATATATATATATATATATATATATATATATATATATATATATATATATATATATATATATATATATATATATATATATGATATAATATATACATCTATTATCTAAGAAGTTTTTATACATGATTGCTCATATATGAAATTATCTAAGAAGTTTTTTTAATGACTGCTCGAACCATGTTAACCTATAGCATACCTAAATAAAAAGAATTGTAGTAAATCTCAGTATTAATTGTCCTATATAAATCTAAAGTTAAATATGAATTAAGATATTGTCATTAAAGTTAAATTAAATAGTTTAAAAGATAAACTTTTAAATATTTCCCAAAAAACAAAAAAAACAGACCCCTGCGTTTTTTTCTTCAAAAAACATTTAAAAAAACAATAAAAAAACAAGAGCTAGAAAACATGTCACTTCTCTATTTCCTGTGTTAGACAGAAAAGTACTTCAACCCATAAAACAATACTAACTAGAAAAAATTATTAGTCATAAAATAGATTGTTCCTCAAGAAAAGAAAAAAAAGAACAAAAAAAAATAAATTTGATACCTATGATGTCAAATCTATGAAATTTCTCCTATCAACTTAATATTACTAAAAACTCCCTCATATCAATGAAAAAAATTATCAAAGACAACTTGTTAACTGTTACATATCATTGATAAAATTAACTGTTACATATCATTGAAAAAATTTAGCATTTTTGGTAATATTATTGAACTACATCTTCATACTTTGCATATCTTAGATTTATATATATTTGGATTGCCCAACCTTAATTTGTTTAATTAATATGAATATTATAAAATTTATAATATGAATCTTTCTCTTTTAAATTCAAAAAAGCAAACTCAAAACAATTTTAGACTATCTGATTATTTCATCCCATATGAGCACAAAAATTGTGCTAGTTCTCTCTTATAAATTTATTTAGTATTTTCTATCAATCATTTTAAGTTTTAAAACATATTAAGTGAATGTAAAAATAGGATACCTTTTAACTTTGTTAAAAATAATATCAACATCCGTACTAGTAAGTTTTTTATCCAAAATTTTCAAATCTCTGGCAAGTTTTGAAAATTTAGCGTTATCCATAAGATCAACAGTTTCATCTTTTCTTGATCCAAATGCACAAAACGATTTAAAAACGCTTTCCATTTTTTGAATAACCGTCTTCTATAATCAAAGTTCTTTAAAAATCTTTATCTTCTTCTCACAAGAAAAATTAGGCGTGGCGTTGCTAAGAAGCTAATTAATTTTTGTTTTACGCTTTCTTTCAAACATCTTTTTCTTCAACAACCAAACGCAAATTAGAGAAAGTTTTTTTTATCAAAATATTCTACGAAATATGCAGTCGATAAAAATCATTTATAAATCATTATAGAAAAAATTGGTTGGTATGCTGTTAAGTGGAGAATTTTATTATTACAAAAATACAAAAAGCAATTTATCAAATTTATTTTACAGACACCTTTAACGAATATTTTTTAATTGAAAATGCAATAAGCATTAGCAATGCGATAAGCCAGCCCTTCCAGCTCAATAATAAAAATAATATTAGGATAATGGGTTATCATGCAGTTTTAACACCGTAAAATAAAGTTGTTTCTTTTTTTTTTTTATGTTTTTTATGTTCTCGTCCGTAGAGACTTAGTGTTTTATAAAACGTTTATAAAATGCTTGTAAAACGTTTCTTTTAATAGTATTTAAAATTCTGTTTCTTTTTTTTTTAGAAATAATATTTACTAGTTAATTCCTTTAAATTACGAGTTCCATTTCCTTTCACCGCCGCAGAGTTTAATAAATAAATAAAAGAGCTTGACGCTAAATTTCACTAATAAACAAAGTGATCGTCCATAAATTACATAACACAAACATTCACAATAAACAAAACAAAAAGATCAAAAAATTTCCCTCGCAGAGTCCTAATTTAAATAAAATATCAGAATAGGGTAAAACACCCAGTATTCGCCACTTTTTTCTACCCTGCCCCACTAAAATATTGTTTTCTCACTCGTTTTTCAATAAATGATTGATCTTAAATATTTATCGTACAGATGGATAGTTGGGCTATACGCTGTACTTAGAACGAATGACCTCCGATAATTAATAAGGGGGCTATAGCCCCCAAAAGTTGAAAGTGGCGGACACTGGAACGGTCCCCGTGTTCGCCAGGCAATTTTTTGAACCTGTTCCAGTGTTCGCCACCCTCAGACTTTTTAAAAAATGAGTTCTTTTTTTTAGTTATTTGGTATTAAAAGTATATTTAAATAATTGTTGAATAATTTTTTTATGTAATGGAAAATTTTTTTGGTTTCTTCTTTGCCATTTTGGTTGCTGGCAGCAACTTTCTTTTAGCTGGAACACTTGGCTTGTTGCGTTTAGCTAATTCAGCAACTAAGCGCTTCGTTTTTCTCTCCTCTTTTGCTTGTTCTTGTTTTTTTTTTCAAGCCTAATACCTTCTACCATCGAGACAACTTTATCTGAAGTCACTACAGATGTGGCATGAAGTTCTTGAGCCACTGTACGAACCTTTCCTATGAAAATTAAAATAATAATCAGGTTATAATAAAGTAAATTTATGACCATAGGCTACATGTGGTAATTTTACAGAGATTAAAAATGGAAAATATAATAATAAATTTAAAATATAGGTAGCCTAGTTAATACACTAACCGATAGCTTTTTTTGGAGAAGGAAACCACTTATGATTTTTAAGAGCAGGACTAATCGCAGGTGGTCTTGCTTGTCTTTGAGGTTCTACCAACATAGGCCTAGTCCTGTTTGGAGGGGCTGACATTGAGGAACACTGTGCATCTGAACTAGAATGAATACTAGGTGAATGAACAGGGGAAACAACAAGGGAATCAACAGCTGGTGCATCCTCTTGCCGATGATTTCGATCAAAGACATATTGGAACCAATTTTGCCTCTTCACCATTCTGAGTGAATCAAATCGTGGCGAATCGATGACAAAGTCATCAAATGATTTTGTTATCCTGTAATATAAATAAGAATTGTTTTATAATAGTTACTAACTTTTATTATCCTGTAATAGCTATAAATAAAAATTGGTTTATAATAGCTACGAACTAGCTAGCTGGGCTTATTATTTTATATTGATACAAATGTTAGACACTAACACCTAGCTATCACTTACAGGTGAATGTTTGGGCCTGCTCCCAGTCCTTCCATCGTGCTAGTACTTGTGTTACCAGACAAGATGATGTCAGAGGATGTCTGTGTCGCAACATAGACATGAAAAAAATTTTCAACTTGAGTGGAAGTTTCAACACGACCGTCTTGAAGCACTCCTTCAAATATTCGACTGTCTCCGGAGTGGGCTTCTTCAAGAGTGAGCTTGGTATAATCAGGAGCGTCTTGATCAAATGGCTGTATGCCACATTTTTTAAAGGATTTTACTATTTTCTCTCTACTCATGACCCTTGTGTACACTGGCAGGAACATTCCTGCAAAGGACTCTTTGGTAACGTATTCATTTGGGTTGGCAGCCCTGAACCTATTCACACACTTAGCCCATTCATTTTTCATAGGGCCAAACAATCCTACGTCCAAAGGCTGCATGAAATGGGTACAGTTTGGTGGGATCAATATAAGCATTATTTGCAGGTCTGCTAAGGTTTTAACTAAATGAAAGTGCAGCCTCGATTTATGTTTGTCGGACCAAACTATAACTGGTCTTTGTATATTATGTTGAGTTAACCATTGGTCAAATGCATTAGTGAGATACTCATAAAGCACCTGATGGTTAATATATCCCGATTCACTTTTTCCGATTGCAAATAAACTGGATGGATTGGCTTCGTATACATTCATAGGAATACGAAGGTTAAGATAAATTATAAGCGGTGGAGGGAGAGAGCCATCGGCACTAACGTTAGCTGCAAAGAAAAGTGCAAAAAAACCAAAAGTTAGCAAGCAGGCCAAGCTAGTATCATGCTAAGCTATCATGCTCAGAGATATGTTGAAAAAAAAGCAATTTATAGTGCAGCATTAAAAGAAAAGCATTACAGAAATAACATAAAAATGAGGAAAGAATAAAATGAAAATGTACCTAGAACAGTGATTCTTTCCTTTTCTTTTGAAGATGTCGCATACGGTACATTTTTAGAACCCTTAGCAGCTAAAACTTTGGAAACCTTGGGTGAAAACTGGAACCCCGACTCGTCGATGTTATAGTTACGCTGGGGTTCCTGAAGGATTTCAAGAAGGTCATATTCAGAGAGGTACGATCTTATATCAGCAAACCATTGTTGTATGACAGCTTGTGAGACATTTCTTCTATTCGCACTTAATGATTCAGTCATGCGAGCAACTATGTTAGGATGCCTCGACAGGCATAGCTTATACCTTAGAAAATAATGGCTAAATTAGTGGACTAGGTATAGGCTATTTCTTTTAGACTAATTTTATGTCTGTATTAATTGTTATAAGCTTTATTTATTAAGCTACAAATGTTTTATAAAGTTAATTTGTAATGTCTTATGACTCGTTATTAAAATTATAACATTTTTTTTTATTTTAATTAGCTATAGGTCAACTTTTATAACTTAGGCACAACCTACTTACCATTTATTCCGTGGCTGTCGAGTCCCTGATCTTCCAAATTGAAAGGGACGGTTTCTATTTACTTCCATAAGTAACCTTTCATCCGAAAGAAGACTAGTTACCAATGACATAATGGTTTCTTTGGTAACAGGGTGGGCACGTTTCTGTGCGCTAACAATAAAATTCACCAAAACATTTTCTTCTGCTACAGTGAGGTAGGTTTGTGGGCCCATCTTTTTTACAACAGGCGCTTTACCACTTATTTTGTCCCTCAATGTGGTGCGCGGGATATTGTACAACTTGGATGCCTCTGAAGCAGTTCTTTCACCACTGAAATATAGCACAGTATAATTTAGGTATGCAACTACTTTATCAGTACTAGGCAGCCCTACCCTATGTATTTCTTTTAAATGTATTATAGGCATTAGGCTATTATGACTACACAATAAGAAATTTAAGCATTGAAAATATGTCTATTAATGCATGCTAATTTTATTACCTTTTTACTTCTTCAATTGCCTTTCTAATGTCCTCCTCAGTGTAAGAATCTCTTGTAGACATACGTGAACCCTTATTGGACTTTGATTTACTAGTATTCATAATTCTAAATGGATATTATGTACCTAGGTACTTATTGAAACTATTTATTATAAGTCTTAACTTGATATATAAATTAATTTAATATAGTTATATAGCCCTATTTGGACTGCTTTAGTATTGTTTAATAACTAGGTTAACAGATAACCTACTTTTGAAATAAAAAATAAATACTTAGCTATATTTATACATTTAATAAAAAATAAAAAATAATAATTTGTTCCCGATGGCGAACACTGGCAAAAGGGGGGTGGCGAACACTGGACAAATTTAAAACGCCTATAACTTTTTTGTTTTTAAACGAAATTCAACCTAACGAAGACTGGCATATGGGTCAAAGTCCATATTTTACCATAAAGCCCATATACGCCACTTTAAAGAAAAAAAATTACCTGGCGAAGACTGGACTAGGTACTATTATGTGTTCCAGTCTTCGCCACCCCCCCTAACCCTGCCCCCCTTAACTTTTTTCCAAGAATAGCCCTGGTACAATCTTCTCTTTGTTCTTCCCATCAATCTGGAATAAAAAAAGTGAAATTGAACTGATATTTAATATGTTTTTTATGTAATTGTTTGAAAAGATTTCTGAAAAAAAATTTTAAGGATTAAGGTTTTTTTGTGACACACTTTCATTCAAAAAAATCCTGAGAGTTTATTTATTTAGTTACGATCGTCAAACTTTCGTCAAATATAAAGCAATGATGGGTGTTCATTCTAGACACTATTTTGGCACTTTCAACCAAATAGTTTTTGACATGCATGTTTTTTAATGGAAAACTGGCGACGACTGGAACACCTGGCGAACACTGGGTGTTTTACCCTAGTTAATAAAATCATAGTCATGGTATTTAACTAGTCTGGAAACGCGGGCCGTTTTCTATAGATTTCGTAAAATAACTTGAGCTTTAAGGGGTGACCGGACTGAGAGTGCATCAAATGTTTTTAAAATGACTTTTTGTAGCGCAGACTTTGAAAATTTGAATGAATTCGATGCTGTTTTAGCTGCTATTGAGTTGTTATTTGTTGGAGGCAGATCTTAGTTTTAGTTCAAACATTAGACTACCTATTTTAATTCATCCTAACCAAAGTGAAGAAAGAATATTTATGTGTTTGTTTTGCAAGAAACGATGTATATCACACGGTGACTCGTCACCTTAACGCCAAGCACAAGGACAGGATTATTGATAAACATTTAGTAAAGAATAAAAGAAAGCAAAGATTATTCTTCAACCTAGAAGATTTTATAATTATTTAATCAAGATTGCAGTAAAGCTTGCTTCAGATAAATGGTACTTTGCTACAAGCTGACATTAAAAGTTTAAAATCAAGTATTATATTTCAATTATTTCAAGAAGAAGTCATTACAGCTTAGTTCCTATTAAAATGTAACTGCTTCATTTGTTTGAAATGCTGAAATTTTTTTAACGCTGATTAAAACATGAAAGAACATGAAGTAGCATTCAAAACATGAATGCTTTCAAAACATGAAAGAAATTGTTTTTTTCAGAAAATATTTTGTAGAATCGATTCTACAAAACTTTTTCTGAAAAAACAATTTCTTTTATGCTTTGAAGTAGCAAATCTTGTCTTTGTTTATCTGACTGGCACCTTTTTTATCAATGATATTATAACATTTAAGCATGTATCTCTCTACATTACTAAACAAAACATTCTATTATGACTTAGTGGAAATGTTTTTGGTACCTCTAATTTTACAATTGGTTTTAATTCTAAAATGTCTAAGTTGTATAATGAGCAGTGTTTATCGTATTTGCTTGCAGCTAAGTATGCATGATCATCTAACATTTTACATACAAGTTCGTAGATTGTACATTGCAAAATATAACCTGAAAGCTTTCAAAATTCAAAAAGTCAAACTAAATTGATATATAAGTTTATCGTATTTGCTAGCAGCTAAGTATACATAACATTGTAAATATAAATATATATTAACATCAAAATATATTTAAAACAAAAGGTTTATAAGCTGCTTTTGTAATCAAACTCATTAAACATATATATATATATATATATATATATATATATATATATATATATATATATATATATATATATATATATATATATATATATATATATATATATATATCATTTAATACTCTCAAATGTACTTTACTACACTCATGGGCCGTACATTATCTGCACCTATAGCTTTCACAATACCAGAATAGAGATACGTAGTAAATTTTATATATGTTATTTTTATTCTGATTCACTCTCAACAAGGTTGCAAGCAACCACTATTAAGTTGGGAGTTACTAGAAAAAAAGCATAAAGTTATAATGCAAGGAAACGGTTGACCGAAGACAAAAAAGTTGAAGGTTGTATGAGTCAGGAAAATATGAAGATGGGAAAGAGTTCCGAAGGGTTAAAGTGCGGTAAAAAAAGCTAAACGACTAAAAGTTTTTGTAGCATGCAGGAACAGATACAGTAAAAGAATGAGACTTCGATAAATGACGAATCAAGTGAGAATAAGTTTTGGTTGATGGAACTTGGGATAAAAGCTCCTTTGACGGCCATGATAGTATTTGTAGAAAAGAGAAAGAGATGCAACTTTGCAAAGGTGGGAAAAAGGCTCAAGCTTAGTAGATAGAGTGGATCCTACTACGTTTACAATCCATTTTTGGACCTTGTCTAGAAGAGAAAGAGCATTATTAGAAAAACCAGCCCAAATATGACAACAGCATTCCATACAGGGAAGAATAAGAGGTTTGTAGAGGTAGAAAATGGAATCAGGAGAGAGAAAATGGCGAGCACGATAAAGAAAAGCAACCTTATCAGATGCTAATTTAGCAATTGATTGTATATATGGTTTTCATGAAAGGTCAGTAGTAAATAATAATCCAAGAAAACGTAAAGAGAGAACTCAGTGAGAGGGTTGGCATTCATTAATATAGGAATGTCGACAATACTGCGATAGCTGTTTGCAGTAAATAACTGAGTTTTGTTGGAGTTAAAGTTTACAAGCCAGTGAGCCCCAATCAGTTACAGAAGTGAGATCAGATTCAAGATCGGCTGCCTGTTCTAAGCAATTGAAAAGAGAAGACTTTTTGTCAAGACTGGAGTATAAAGTTAAGTCATCAACAAAAAGAGCTACATTAGATGTAATGTTGTCGAGAAGATTATTAATGTAGATAAGAAACAAAATAGGACCAAGGATAGAACCTTGAAGTACCCCAGAAGTTACTGGAAGTAAAGAAGAATGTTGGCCTTCGTGGATGATTTTAATAAAGTGTAGAACGAGAGAATCGAAAACCGTATTGACTGCCAGCTAGTAATTTAACTCAAGATGAAATGTGAGAAATTTGTTTATATTAATCGCATTTTCAAATGGTTTTTTCTCAATATTACAAATAAAATGAAACTCCCCATTTCAAAGAGGCGAGAAACTGAAAGAAGAAAACCGTTGTCCGATTTAAGTCGCATTTTTTTTAATAATAAAAATATAAAATCTATTTTTCTTATAATGAAAATATAAAAACATTTTTTAACACAGTGTTGCATGCCATATTACATTTTTCTATCCTATTGATGATCATACCCAGCAAACATTCTACAGCTGAATTTCAGTGGACCAATACAAACGTTTTAAGCGATCCACTGTAGTTTTGCTTATTGGTTACTTAGCGGACAATTGGTGACAGCTGCTAAAAGTAGCTAGCCACTATATCACATGTTAAAGAGTTATCGCCTTTCTATTTATAGCGGATGCTACTAATGGTCCACTTAGAAACCAATCAATAAAACGCCAATAAACCACTCAAAATGCCGATATCCCAATAAATTAAAAAAAAAAAAAAAAAAAAAAAACGCGTGTCCTAGATGGGTTCCTTGTGGGATGAATTTGTAACTACAGACAATTCCGCATGGGTTACAGAAAATGTAAGCTTATATTCAAAGACATATACTTATTTACTCAAAATACATGGCTTAGCTATAAAAAGAGCCATAATAAAGAATAGTCATAAAGACTAAGAGTAGCGTCCGTTGTTGACCAGGACCTTTTAGTTAGTGGTGGCAGGATTTTATTCGTATTGCACAACAGTCCAGGTTTTAAAAATTTGTTTGACGTTCTATCCATTTAAACTATTCAGCTAAGGAAATTCAGCACAGATTGCAGAAAATATATATTCATTAGAAATTTGCTTTGATTGATAAGAAAGCTTTATTAAATCAAAGATTTAAGAATACTAAATCTTTAACTTTATATTTTACCGAATTCACTTAATTTCTATAAACTAATTAAATTTAGAAAAATAGCAATATAAATACTGCTGACGCTAAAGGTCAACAGTATTTTATACTAAAAGCTTTAATTACAATGTAATATTCAACTACTAAACTTGTACACAGAGTTTTTATAAAATCTGTTGAGTTAGATTTCCGATGGAAAAACTTTTTGAAAAGGTACATAATTATGTCGCACAATTATAGTGCGATATTGTCGACATGCATATAGGTCAAACATACGCAGTTACAGGTTTTATTTAAGTATTTGGTTTTTGTGTCTTTTTTGTAGAGAATTTGCCAGTTAGTAACTAAAATACATATCCAAGTCAAAAGATTCTATAAAATCTTGAGAAAAAGTTTATCCATTTTTTTAATTTATTAAATCCAATAAGACCTATTAATATCAAATAAATGTGTTTGCTTTGGAAAAAAAATCTCACTTTCCATCGGACAACAAAAAAGATCAAATCATATGGGCTGGCATGCATCATATGCGCCCGTTAAATATGTATAAGTGCCTTAAAAATTTAAATTTTAAAAATCATGTTCTATAATAAAATACAGCAATCAAGCCGAGTCCTGTATCATCTTGTAACGATTTAAACTTCCAAAAGAAAGTTCGTCATATCGCATTTTTTTCTTTTCTTGGGTTTCTGCAATACTGTCAGAAGGGAAGCCAAAACCACCGCCTCCTGGTGTAAGCATGCGGTATAAGTCCTAAAAAAATAAAACTAACTTAATAAAAAGCGTAAAATCAATTAAAAAACATATTTAGAAGTAAAAGGAAATTGACTTACTCCTGCTTTTACAGGTACAGATGTTTTTGCACCAAGGTTTATAACATAACCATCTGCTAAAATTAACAAGTTCAATCCTTTTGAACCGGGTTCGCCACCTGTTTTAAGAAACAAACCGTATGATATAAATTCAGGGTCACCGCAAAATGACGTCACATCAAAAATAGCTTTTTAGTTCGCTTACCATATTACGCCTATAACCTATAATACTATTTTTTCCACGTTTTAAGTCAAAACTATTGATAGTTTAAGCAAAAAAAATAAACAATTAAATATTTTTTAAAACTTAAATAATAAAAACAATAAAGCATTAGTAGAAAATGCTTAACTATAGCTCACTAAACTTATTTTGAGGTTTTTAACTTTTGTTTTTACTGACAAATGTTATTTGTAATTATCTGTATTCAGATAATTATGGGAGGATGGGGGCTTTTGACTTAGTAGCCACGGCACTGGTTACACTAAAAAAAACGACTAAAAACTTACACTCTTAAAAAGGTTTTTTTAGTTGATTTATTACAATACTAATTAGATTTCAACTGGAATATCTAACAGAATTATGTTTTCCTTCAGGTCGAGATATCATGCATAAAGATTAAAAAAGACAAAAGACAACGCGCAATTTATGATCAACCATTTTTGCTGAACTCTAATTTGCCAACTCTAAATAAAGATTACATAGAGAAAATCATTGATATGTATGCAAATTATTTGAACTTGATAAAAAATGAAACAAGAGATAATGAAAAAGAGCTTAAAAATCAAGCAAATTTCAACGAAAAGCGTGGGATTTTGTTTGATATAGACGTCACGTTGCGCCTGATCAGTTGATTGGCATTGATGAAGATAAAGAGTTTTTGAAGTTGCAACAGCAATTAAGATGTGGAATAATTGAATTAGTCGACATATTGGCTATTGAAAGAAACTTGAAAACAGACACAGTTGAACTTTAAAAGACAACTTGTCAGCTGTAAGAGAATGCTTTAAACCAATTATAGTTAGCATGCAACTACCATAAAATTCTCTCAACTGATGAACTTAAGCTTTGCTTTTGAATATCCAGTTGACGTCATCCTCAAGTGGTTCCTAATGTGAAAAACTTTCGAGTCAACTGCTTGGCAAAAACCTGATTGCTATTTTGAAACTTTTTATAAGTGTCAAACTAACTCAGAAGCATCTGCAAGAAGATACCTGGATTTGTTAGCGTTGGTTGGCTGTATAATCGGGTTAAAAATTTAATCAGCTATCAAATATTTCCTGATTTCATTATGAATGACAACGTCTATGCAAATGTTTAATTAACATTTTGATAAAGTTTTTACGACATTTTTAATGACAGGTTGTGGCTGTTGCTGTAACATGCAAGTGGTTGTAATTACAATTATAACAATTTATAACTGTATACAATTACAATTGTTAAAACAATAATACTTTTAAACATTTTGTCAAATGTTAAAAATCATTGAACCCCCTAAATATTATCAGATTTGCTACCAAGCGCCTTGGTTGGATAAAGGCTAGATATGGAGTCATAAAAAACTCATCTTGGGATGTCAACTGCATCTAACTATTGTCTTATAAAATCCTAGAAAAATATTTTAGGAGTCAATAAAAATCGTGTTGACCAGATTTGCACCTTTTCTTTATCTTTTTATGCATCAGGACTGAAAAAAAAACTTTTTTTTTTGTTTTGAAAGAAAAAATAAAAAAAAGTTTTTTTTATTTTTTCTTTCAAAACAAAAAAAAGAGGTTTTTTTTTTCAAAGAAAAAAGAGTTTTTTGAAAAAAAAAAAAGAAAAAAAAAAACCACCTGCGCCTGATGAAAGAAACTTGAAAAACTTGTTTGTTTCGTTTCAATTATATTTTATAAAAAAACTGAATTTTTATAAAATTCAGTTAAACTTCTTTTATAAGCTATATATTCTTGGTTTTCTCAAAGTACTGTTGCAAAGTACTTTGTTACTGTAACTCCTTTTAACTACTCCAGGTCAGGTCAGGATAATCGAGATCAATCTTGCTACTGGTATCACGTAACCCAGTACCACCTGCCACAAGCCCTGCTGCCTTGCAAAGTGTGCTCTTCTTATGCAAAGGCTAGGAGAAATAAACTCCGACTAAAAATTTCCCTGCCTTGGGGCTCTTGGTTGAGTAAAGGCTAGAGATGGTGTCTCGATAAAAACACTCATCTTGGGCAGATGTTAACTGCATCCAGCTAAACATCCCCTGCCTTGGGGCTCTTGGTTGAGTAAAGGCTAGAGATGGTGTCTCGATAAAAAGACTCGTCTTGGGCAGATGTTAACTGCATCCAGCTACTGTCTTGTAGAAGGCCTCCTAGGCAAAGACTTTAGGGGTAAGCAGAAAAATTCTGCTAACCAGCCTCGAACCCCTTCTTCATCTATTAGGCTGGCGTAGATGTAACCTGTGTTACATTGTTTCCTGCCTAGGATGATGAATGCTGGACCTCCTTGACTCTACTCATAGAATTTTGCTTATGCCTCCTTGATAATGGCTATGCAACTCTTCCTGTTATCTCCATATGAGGGTACAGCTCTAAAACTCAGTTTAATGGTTCTGAGGCCGGCTGGTAGTAAAGTTTCCCGAACTCTGTGGTAGCTCTCAGAGAGACTGATTCCGTCAACAGCTGCAAAATATTAGAGTATTAACAGTGCCATGTTGCGCATGGATGGTGTCCCTGTTAATGCTTTTGGTGTGCATTGTCAAGGCCACATAAGGAGCCCTATGTCACGGCTTAGGGTTAATTAACAGGACTGAGACAACTGCATAGCTCATTGATTAGGAGGCTGTGCTCTATCTATGAATGAGTCAATTTCTCATTAAACCCAAATCATGACCAAAGTAACCAAAAATTTAAAACCTAAAAAACCATCCCCACCACCTAAATATTTTAATATATCTTTTACAAATATTTGCGGTCTACGAAGCAACTTTCTATCAGTTGAATCTTACCTCCTGCAAAATTCACCAGACTTGCTTGCACTCAGTGAAACAAATTTAAGTTCTGCAATTCCTTCTTCAGATGTCAGTGTTGATGGGTACTATCCTTTGATTCGTAAAGACTCCAATAGTCACATGCTAGATTTAGGGGTATACACACGCATTAATTCCCCTATTCCCCTATTTGTCGTGAAATCAGGTTCGAATCCTTTGACCATTCTTTTATGTGCTTTCGCCTAGCACCTCTTCACTCTATCACCTTTCTCTTTGTTCTTTATTGTTCTCCTTCTTCCCATGATTGCACTCTTTTAGATGTTATCTCTGATCAAATTGACCATGCCCTCTCTCTTTACCCCTCTGCCAATATTGTTGTTGTTGGTGATTTTAATGCCCATCACACTGAATGGCTTGGCTCTAACACCACTGATCCTGCTGGCACTAAAGCCTTTAACTTCTGCGTTTCTCAATCTCTTACTCAGATAGTTAACTTTGTGACTCGTTTTCCTGACAACCCTAATCATTTACCTTCACTCCTTGACTTATGTCTTGTCTCTGACCCTAGCTTATGTTCAGTTTCTCCCTTTTCTCCCTTAGGTGGTTCTGACCATGCAATGATCTCTATAAATCTTTCTTCTCGTACTTCTTTTTTGGGCTCACCTTATCATCGTACCACCTACTACTACCCTAAAGCTGACTGGGATTCCTTTCGTGATTTTCTTCGTGATGGTCCTTGGGCTGATGTTTTTTCTCTCTCAGCTGACAAATGCGCCTCCTACGTAACCTCCTGGATTCAGGCTGGAATGGAAGCTTTTATTCCTTCTCGTCGGTTTCAAGTCATGCCTCCTTCTACTCCATGGTTTTCTCCTTCTTGTGCGGCTGCTATATCCAATCGTAATCATTTTTTTCATCTTTTTCAAAAGAACAACTCTCTTGAGAACAAACGGCTATTTATTATTAAGAAATCGATGTAAAAAGGTGCTTTCTGATGCTAAACTCAATTATTCTCAGTTCAATAAATCTCGCATCTTATCGCAGAAGTTAGGCTCTAAAGACTTTTGGAAAATCTTCAACAGCATTGTTAACAAGGGTAGATCTAACATTCCATCTCTCATTCATGGGACTGATCTTGTTACCTCTCCCAGGGATAAGGCAGAACTGTTTGCAAAGAACTTTTCTTCTAATTCCACTCTTGAATCTTATGGACATTCTCTTCCTTCCATTCCAGTCAAACAGGTTGACCCATTGTTAGACATTCAAATCACTCCAGCTTCTGTTGCTAAAGTCATATCTCAATTAAACTCGTCTACAGCTTGTGGTCCAGACAACATTCCTGTCACAGTCTTGCAGAATTGTTCTCCAGAACTTTCTTCAATTCTCTCTAAACTATTTAACAAGTGTTTGACTGAGTCTTGTTTTCCTGCTTGTTGGAAAATGGCATCTGTGGTTCCAATATTCAAAAACTCTGGAGAAAATTCTGACCCCTCCAATTATCGTCCGATCAGTCTTCTTTCTGATATTAGCAAGGTCTTTGAGTCTTTGATCAACAAATTCCTCACATCTCATCTTGAGTCAAATAAACTGCTGTCAGACAATCAATACGGTTTTCGACCCTCTCGCTCTACGGCCGACTTGCTAACTGCTGTAACTGAAAGTTTTTATCGTGCATTAGATGGAGGCGGTGAGGCTAGGGCTATTGCTCTCGACATATCTAAAGCTTTCGATAAAGTTTGGCATGCTGGTCTTCTCCATAAGCTTGCTTCATATGGTGTTTCTGGGAAAGTTTTTGAGATTATCAAATCATTTCTTTCTGATCGGTTTATTAAAGTCATCCTTGAAGGCCAACACTCTTCTTTATTTCCAGTAACTTCTGGGGTTCCCCAAGGTTCCATCCTGGGCCCTGTTTTGTTTCTTATCTACATAAACAATCTTCCTGACAACCTTTCATCTAAAGTAGCTCTTTTTGCTGATGACTCAACTTTATACTCCTGTCTTGACAAAAAGTCTTCTCTTTTCGATCGCCTAGAACAAGCAGCTGATCTTGAATCTGATCTCACTTCAGTAATAGATAACTCTAAAAAAACCCAATTGCTTACTGCAAACAACTACCGTAATATGGTCAACATTCCTATATTAATGAATGGCAA